AAGCTGTGAATTATTTTACTGGTGTCTTAAGGGATCAGGACCAGGCCTAGAACTGACTTCACAGGGTTTTACAAAAGCCGGTGCGAATAAATCTTCCTACTTGGGGCTTGTTTTATGCTTGAAGGAGGAAACCAAGACTCTCAGATCCAAGATATTCCCCACACCTTTGCAGTGTGGGGGTGATTTTTTTTTTGTTTCCACTTCCTTGCCAAACCCAGGGAGGAGCTGGAGCTCAGGAAGCCACGGGGCTCCAGAGCCTGGCTGGGTTTTGTTCTTGCTTGCGAGCTGCAGAGCACGCAGCACTGTCTGGAGCCATCAGCCACAGGGTTCTCAGCCTGTCTGGAGGCTGAATCCCGAGGCTGTATCTTGGCTCTTGGCATAGAGGGAGGGTGGTTTTTGTTTGATTTTTATTTTTTTTTCCTGGGCACTGGAACAGGCCCGTGCTCACACGTGGGGTTGGCAAAAAAACAGGCGGCCTTTCTTTGCCGGCAGCTGGAGCCTGCACTGCCAGGGCAGCCTCAGCCAGCAGCAGTGCCAGCCCCTGCTGCCTTCCCTGTCCCTGCTGCCTTCCCTGCCCCTGCTGGTTTGCAGGGTCTGGGAGAGTGTTTCCCATCCCCTCATCCCCCCTCTGCAACCCCTGCTCTCTCCTGGGCCTGATGCTGCAGCAGGGAAGCTGTGGCCAAGCGCAGGGCAGCACTGCTGGAATTCAGAGGGCTCCAGGGAAGCTGTGGTTGGTGCTGAGTGTTTGGGAACTGGGATTGAAGCAATAATTGCAAATATATTGATGGGAGAAAGGAGCTCTGGCATCCAGGATAGAGAGCACACCAGTCTCCTGGGTTCCAGCTGAAGCTTAGATGTGAACTCATGTCTGGTAGATCCATGCAGCGACTTCCAGGGAACCCAACATCCTTTTTTATTTCTGTGTTTGTGTAAATTATTTAGATTTCATTTACTTGCAACCTCCAGACCCATAAATAACGGTGCTGAGTGCCTCTGCTGGCTGGCTGAGTGTCTCATTTCCAGATAATATTCCTTTCTCTGTGGTAGGGCTTTTGTAATACACTTAGATGAACCAGAGCTAATGGGAAAGAAATCAGTCCAGGCCCCTGGAGACTTTCCCTTTGCCTAGAGAGGAGGGGAGGTCCTGAGGTCCAGGAAGCACCTGCAGTTCCATAGAGAAGCTGCTTCTCCTGAACTGAATCCTCCCGTGGTTCCATGCAGCTGGGGAGGGGTGGAGAAGACTTGGGGGAGCAGGTCCCTGAGTTATTCCTGCTCTGCCTTGGTTCCTCTGATTGGGGTGGCATCCTGGAGGTCTCTGCAAGCTGCTTGCCATGATGTGACAGTCTGATGCTGTTGGGTTAGTTATGGAGAATGATTTTTATGACTTTAGGTAATGAAGGACGCTGCTCCAGAGCTGAATGTGAGCAGCTCAGAAGCTGAAGAGGAAAGGGAGGAAAACAAGCCAGAGGGGGAGCAAGACCCAGATTTTAACCAGGTAGAGATCAAAAATACCACCAGGTTCCTCGGTTTCTGCACCATCCTCTTGAGCCAGCAGGGTGGGGTAGCCCTCCCTTCACCACCTAAGGCACAACCAAGTCTTAAATTGTCCTTTCAATGGTTGTACAGCATGATCACTTTCATTTTGGAGAGATAGATCTTGATCCTACACGTGGCTGGTAGGAGTTGGAACCAGGAACCAAGGTCTGAAGGCACGTCCTTCAGTCCTCTTGACACTTGCATGCGGCCGGTTGCTTCCAAAGGGCTTTTTGATGCTTCCTGCCTTCCCTTGCATGACCAGCTCACCCAAAACACAGCCCAGGGAACAGGGAGGTTGTTCTACCAATCCCAACCTTGAGCTCCTCATTTTTTTGCCTTGTTCCTAGGCCAATGGTGGAGCGAAGCGCCAGAAGGTCTCTCACCAGAGCTACATCACCTTCCAAAAACAAGGCATCAGGAGGAGCACCCGGCACCGGAAAGTCAGAGGGGAGAAAGCACTGCTTGTTTCTGCTAATCAGACACTGAAGGAGCTGAAAATACAGGTAAGGTCTTTTTCTTCCAAGGAATGAGTCTTCTTGAGGAAGAAGTGGAACTCCTGGAGTGAATCCAGAAGAAGCCACAAAGATGATCCGAGGGCTGGAGCAGCTCTGTTCTGGAGCCAGGCTGGGAGAGTTGGGATGTTCAGCCTGGAGAAGAGAAGGCTCCAGGGAGACCTTAGAGCACCTTCCAGTGCCTGAAGGGGCTCCAGGAAAGCTGGGGAGGGACTTGGGACAAGGGCAGGGAAGGATGGGATGAGAGGCAGCTGCTTCAAACTGGAAGAAGGAAGATTTAGGTTGGACATGAGAAGGGAATCCTTTGCTGTGAGGGTGGTGAGAGCCTGGCCCAGGTTGCCCAGGGAAGCTGTGGCTGCCCCATCCCTGGCAGTGTTGAAGGGCAGGTTGGATGGGGCTTGGAGCAGCCTGGGCTGGTGGGAGGTGTCCCTGCCCATGCAGGGGGTTGGATCTGGATGATCTTTAAGGTCCCTTCCAAGCCATTCCATGATTCTATGATGTAGGCACATGTGGCTGGGAGGGGATGGAGGGAAAGGGTCTAAAACCCCATGTGGCATGGAAAGGCACGTGTTGCTCTGTGAAACAAGGGGGGTTTGGGGTATCTCAGTGGTGTTTCTTTGTTCCCTCCACACAAAGTCAGTGTGTCTCATTGTGTTGGCACAGATCATGCATGCATTTTCAGTTGCTCCCTTCGACCAGAACTTGTCCATTGATGGGAAGATCCTGATTGACGACACGGCCACGCTGGGCAGCCTGGGGGTCATCCCTGAGTCTGTCATTTTACTCAAGGTAAAGGGGCTGGGGGGGAGAAAGTGGTTGCTAAAATTCCAGTAAATCAGAGATTTGGACTGATTTTTGTACCAGTTGAGATGCAGGCCTTGCTGCACAGGTGGGAACTGCTGTGCTCTACGTGTGGCCACTTGGGCTCCTCTGCAATTCCATAAGTTCCTCTTGGAGCTCCTTTTTTGGAGGAGGAAAACCTTATTTAAAAAAATAAATAAATAAATAAAAAAGTATTAATTAACCCTGCTGCTGGGCTGTGTGTTCAGCATCCCAAAAATGCATCCCATTCACTAGTAGAAGTTAGGGGTGGACCTGCTGGGAAGGAGTTCTGAGAAGGAGGATCTGGGAGTCCTTGTTGACAATAAGTTAACAAAGCCAGGAATGTGCCCTTGTGGCCAGGAAGGCCAATGGAATCCTGGGATCCATTGGGAAGTGTGGCCAGTAGGTTGAAGGAGGTCATCCTCCCTCTCTATTCTTCCCTGGTGAGGCCACAGCTGGAGAACTGGGACCAGTTCTGGACTCCCCAGTTCAAGAGAGACAGGGAACTGCTGGAGAGAGTCCAGCAGAGGGCAACAAAGATGACTGGGGGGTTGGAGCATCTCCATCATGAGGAAAGGCTGAGAGAGCTGGGACTTTTCAGCCTGGAGAGAAGGGGGAGACCTTAGTAATGTCTATAAATACCTAAATGGTGGGTGCAGGGAGGATGGAGCCAGACCCCTTTCAGTGGTGCCCAGCAACAGGACGAGGGCAATGGGCACAAACAAACACAGGAAATTCCATCTGGACATGAGGAGGAACTTGTTTACTGGGAGGGTGACAGAGCCCTGGGTCAGGCTGCCCAGAGAGGTTGTGGAGCCTTCTTCTCTGGAGATGTTCAAAACCCACCTGGATATGTTCCTGTGGGATCTGCTCTAGATGATCCTGCTCTAGCAGGGGATTGGACTGGATGATCTCCAGAGATCCCTCCCAACTCTGAACAGCTACATCAGGGAGTGAGCCTTCCCCCCTTGTTCCCAGACAGTGTTTGGGTAGGAGACTCATTCCCTGCTGCCTTCCAGAGCAGGACTGATCAGGCTGAGAACTTCCAAACAGGATTCCTTGTTCATTAATCTCCTGCTCCACTTGTTTTTCCAGGCTGATGAACCCATTGCAGATTATGCAGCGATGGACGACGTTATGCAAGGTGAGGGGGAGACACCAGAAGGTTTGGGGGACGAGGAAGGCACCTCAGCTGGGGGAGAAGTGTTGGTGGCCAAGAGTTGGGTTTGGATTGTAGAAGTAGAAAATAGAGATGTTGAAGAGGTAGAAAATAGGGGTGTTGAAAAGGTAGAAAATAGACTTTGAAGGTTTCCTGTCACCATCAACGGGAAGGTCAGCGATGTGCTACCTCTCAGACAAAGGATCCTTGTAGAGACACCTTTCAGGAGACCTCTAACACCATGCCTTTCTCCTTCCGTTCCCAGTTTGTATGCCTGAAGAAGGATTTAAAGGTGAGTTTTGGGGTTTGTCTCCCCTCCCCCCCTTTAATTAAGCCCATGCTCACTTCTACTTCATCCTGTAACCATCGTCGTCTTTCCATGGTCCTTCTCTCCTCAGGAACTGGTTTACTTGGACACTGATGGTTTTCTAAACGTTGGCAACAGAGGAGATACCAGAAGGGAAGAGGATTTGACATGGTAGGGCATTAAAAGAGGAAAAAAAAAAAAGGTGGATACAGAACTGAACTTTGACTCTTCCAGAAGGCAGAAACCCTTTTTTGAAATGACTGTCCCCTCCTTCCCCCCCAAAAGAAAACAAATTGCCTTATGTCAAAGCAGATTGCACTGGAGGACATCCTGCCTTCAAGAGAACGTTCCCCATTTTATATTTAATAAAAGCAACAGGAAGGTTGGAAAGTTGAGCAGCAGTAAGAGCGTGTTGTGTTCCCAGGAGAGGGAGAGGACGTGTTCCCTCCTGGGATTCCCTGTCCCAAATCCCATTCCTGGTCTGGAGTTGCTCTTGAGGCCTTGGCATCGCTCTTCAGGCTTAACCTTCTTATGGATCATCCTCTTTCTGATCCTCTCTTACTCTCAGTACAGCATGGAAGTAATGAAATTGTTTGTGAGGAATGTCTGGCTCGTTCCAACACCAAAACTTCACCTCTTTAACCCAAAAAAGAAGCTGGGCTTTGCCTCCGAGAACCTTCCGTGGCATCAGCTGCTCCGCCTTCACTTCCAAACCTTGGATGATCTTTAATAACCTCCTCCTCTGTCGCTGTCAAATGTCATTTTTTAGAAACCTTGGGGTATTTTATCAACTTTGGAGAACATCTTTTCCTCCAATCCAGGACTTCCAGGAGTGCCCACGGCTCGAGGAGCCGGCAAAGGGCGCGTGGGTGGGCAGCGTGTTTCCCGTGGGAAAAGGTGTTTTGGTGTCCATCCCCCCCACCCCGTTTTTTCAGGAATGCACTAATAATTGTTACTTTTTACATCCCATGGCCCATAAGCAGCAGGAACTAGCTCCAAACTTCCAGATTTAGGGGGGAAAAAAGGGTTTCTCCATAAGGAAGTCAGACACTTCCTCTCCCTTTTCAACCTTTTCACTTCGTTCCCGTGACAAAACGTGGCTCAGGTTGGGTTCCTGCCACCTCCCCTTGAGTTTTTGAAAGGACTGCAGGAATTTGGGACATATCCCATCCCAACAAGCCTGGTGATGTTCATCTCCACTCTTAGCTTTGATGCCAGGAATTGGAGCTGCTCCTTGCTGAGCGTGAAGGCTCCACGTCCTCTCCATCTCGGGTGGGTTTTGGGGCCTTGGAGCTCCTAAAAAAAAGTGGTTTGGGGGGCGATTTTGACCCACAAATTCTTTCCCAAGGTAAAGATGTTGACAGGAATTGATCAGAATGAAGCTAAATCCTTTGGGAACGTGCAGGAGGTTTTCTTCTTCCCAAACAGAAGCACTCTCCTGTGTACAATATTCCCTGGGAAGTTCCTTTGGGGTTTGTTTTTTGTTTGGGTTTTTTTGTTGTTGTTTTTTTTTCAGTTCACCTTTAATTTCGGCTTTTTTTGAACGTTCTGAAAAATCTCTTTTTCTTGAGCTTAAAACGTTACAAAATGAAAACTCTGAAGTCAGTGGGGAGGACTGGGGGGTGGTTCCAGCCTTACCCGGAGGATCCAGGTACAAGATGTTGCCATTTTCTCTCTTGTTGTTTCCAAACTTTGTTGGATTAAACTTGTTGTTGGAGCCGTGGAAGCCTCGTGAAAAAGCTGCTCCCTCTGGTGCCTTCACACCTTGGGGTCAGTGATGCTGCAAATCCCACTCTGGCTCATCCCCAAAAAATAAAAGGGCTGTGGGTGCTGCAGGGTTGGGGTGGGAGCAGATGGGATCCATCATCCCCCCCC